CAAAAAAAAAAAAAAAACTGCTCCCATTTCTTTGTTCTCCAGTGTCAGCCTCAGGTACCTGCTCACTGGTCCTGCCGCCCTGTTTCCCTAGTATCCAGGACCCCACGCATGCACTATGTCTGCGCTCTGGTCTGGAATCCTAGGGCTGGGTGTTCAGCAGTCCTGGGTTCTCTCTCCCTCCCTGTTGACTCCTCTACACCCGCCAGGGGCTGGGGGGAGGGGTGCTCGGGTCCCGCCGGGCCGGGGCTTGTATCTTTCCCCCTTAACGAGGCACTGGCTTCTCGCAGGTGGGGATGTGGTCTGGATGTTGTCCTGTGTCCTCTGGTCTCTATTTTAGGAACAGTTGTCTTTGTTATATTTTCATAGATATATGTGGTTTGGGGAGGAGATTTCCGCTGCTCTACTCATGCCACCATCCTGGCTCCGCCTCCTTGTGAAACTTTTTTATATATATATCTAGAAGTGGGTGTGTGTATGTGTGTGTGAACTTAAATACATTTCTGTGGGTTGTGGTAAAAAATTTGAAAACCACTGTCTTAGAAGAACTGTCATTTTAGTAATTCTTCCCATAATTTTTCTTGGAAATGGTTATCTATATGGGGAGGGTTGAGAGTCTGAACCAGGGTAATGTCAAGTAAAAGATGTATTGTTCTATAAGTTTTATATTCTCACATATGATTTTCATTCAACCTGAAAATTTTTTTTGTGGGTGAATAAGTAGGAGTCAAATTTCAATTTTTTCCATTGGTATGTTCTGTTGTCCCTACAATGTCTATTGAAAGGCCATCCTTTTTCTTCACTGTTAAAAACTCTTTTCTTTATATTCATTAGGAGAAATGTACAAGAACATTCATAGCAATGTCAGTATGTGAGAAGATCTGCTTTGGACTCTTTGTGTTCCATTTGTCTGTTTGTCTACACTGGTACCCATAATCACTATTACAGCTTTGTAGTAAGCCTTGATATCATGTAGAGCAATCTTCCTCTTTTGTTCTGTTTTTCTTTTTAAGATGGCTTGGGAACTTCTTGGCCTTTTTTCATATTTTTTTATATAAATTTTAGAATTTGCTTGTCAATTTCTGCTAAAAAAAGCATCTCTGCTGGGATCTTCTCTTCTTCATTTCTTAAGTATAATTTATACTATAAAACTCATCCTTTTAATGGACAGCCCTGTGGGATTTTGTTTGGACTGAATTGGATCTAGTTCAAATTGGGGAAAACTGACATATTTCCAATATTGAGATTTCATCCTGTGAATATGATACATCCTTTCATTTATTCTTTAATTCCTGCCAATTATATTTATAGATTTTTTTTGTAGTGATGTTGCCCATTCATCATTGGACTTATTCTTAAATCTTGGGTGACTTACACTGTTACAAATAGTATTTTTAAGTTTCATTTCATGTAACTGACATATAGAAATACAGTGACATTTCTTGACTTGTATCTAGATCATTCCAGACTCAAATATTAATTTTAGCAATTTCTGTAGAATCTTTAAGAAAATCTTGTCATTTTGTCATTCTGAATAATGACACTGTTATTTCTTCATTTCTAATACTTATACTGATAATTACTGCATATTTATATGGTTAGGACATGGAGTACAATAGAAATGATAGTAGTAGGAATTTCTTATCTTATTCTCAGTATCAGAGGAAAGGCTTTCAACATATTTCTATTAAGTAACACGTTTGCTATGGTTTTTTGTAGTATACTCAGTCAGTTTAAGAATGTTCCTCAGAATGTCTCTTCATTTCTGTAGATAAGGTTTATCTAAAAAGTTGTCTTTTTGATAAGGACTTGTAACTTAATTTCATTTTGATCAGAGAGTACAGTTTGTATTATTTTAATCTCTGAAATTGTTGGTAGTAGCTTTATGACTCAGGATAAAGTGAATATTAAACATGCTCTTTGTGTTCTTGAAAATAAAGCATATTCTCTAACCCTTAGGGCAATACTTCATACAGTGCCCATTTTGCCTGCTTTGTTATCTGTAAAGTATAATTGTCTGTGTCTGTACTTACTTTTTTTATGTTTATTCTTACTAAGAGAGGTGTGTTAATATCTTCCACTAAGCTTATGAATTTGTTTCTTTGAGGTGCTGTTACATTTGCATTATATATTTTTGAGATTATTGTAGTGGAGGCAGAACTTTACCTTTATCTTCTTAGGGTGTCTCGTTGAGCCTTAGAATTAAATTGACACAAGGCAGATTAACAGGAGAAATGCATACAGATTTTTACATGTACATGGGAACTACCATAGGAAAATGAAGACCCAAAGGAGTGAGTAGGTTAAGTATTTACATACTAGGGAACAAAGAATAGCAATTGTGGAAAAGTAACTAAAATATAGGGGGAGACTTAAGGAAGATAAGAGTTATTTTAGCAAAGTCTGTACAAATTTCTCTTGGCCTCAATTCACTGTGGCTGGTGATAAGAATATTTCTTTCCCTGGAATAGGGAGGACCTCTTTCATATAAGAGGTTTATTTCATGTCTTCAGGAAGAAAAGGGGAGTTCATAGCATCCTCCTTGGCACCTGCTGTTTTTCAGGTGTCTTTAGCTCAAATAACCTTATGCCAAAGTGGCATATTTTGGGTAGCATACTCGGCCATCTTTCAGTATTCTATTAGAGGTAAATTAAGGTGAAGTTCTTATATATTCCTGAGGAATTAACATTTTTAAGTAGTTGAGTTTATTTTCTTTATGTTTTAGTCCATCTTGTTGATATCTGGAACATGATTGAAGCATTCCGAGACAATGGCCTTAATACACTGGACCATACCACTGAGATCAGTGTGTCCCGCCTCGAAACGGTCATCTCGTCCATCTACTACCAGCTGAACAAGCGCCTTCCTTCTACTCACCAAATCAATGTGGAGCAGTCCATCAGCCTCCTCCTCAACTTTATGATTGCTGCATATGACAGGCTAGTACCTTACATGCTTGATTTGAAGAACGTTTGTTCCGTAATCATCATTTGTCTGCACTGCCTTGCTAAGGGTTGCCAGCTTAGAATTACAATAAAAATGGAAATTATTCAGTGTGAGTCCCTTCTAAAGATTGCTTAATGCCAGAATGATTTATTGTTCTGAGACATGTCACATATTAACTTCTGTGTTATTACTTGAGACATATTGTTTGGTAAAATTTATAGGTACCTTAATATATCTGTTCCTCTATCCAGAGAAATATAGTTAAGTTGTGAATTTGATTATGAAGTGTTCTATTTGACTTTCTTTTTTTTTTT